TAAATATGTTCATCAGAGTATCAATTATATAAAATATATTTATTGTTATCATCAAAACTCTGAGATATGATCAGAACCAATCTTGTTCTAACATCATGTTCTTTTCACGCTTTCCTTTATTGGATAAAAGAAAATTCGGTGACGACTCTTGCTAACCACAACATTTGCGATAAAACGCAAAACCAAAAGTCAGTTCTCCCATCGTATTATATTAGGGTTGTTATTGGGTGATGTATGATTGTTGGTATTATTGTTGGGGTTTCGAGGATGATGCTCATCGTGCGCAAGGATCGATCAAATGCCTCAGGTTAAATTCAGGGTTAGTAACCAATTTGTACCTATTTATATATTGACCTATTTGTCGCATATCATGGTTCGCGGGGTAAACAGGGAATTGTAACACATGTCTCTCACGTCTCTTCCGCATCTCACACTATTCTAGAGAAAACTCTTTCCAATTGCTAACACCTCATTGGGCGTCGACCCTAAGATGATGCCAAGGTGACGAACAAGTCGGAGGGCCTGGTATTTCTTGATGCATGCCGAACTACATCATGACATGGTTGTTGTGGTGCATCTCCATAAAGTTGGACCGTATGATTGAAGTTTTTGCAATCCAATAATCATGTATTGAAAAAAACACATCAATAACCACATTTTTGGAAAAATTACACAAATAACCATATTTTAGAATTGGTATAAATGGTCCAGCCATATGAAATGGCACATCCATTCAAATTTTAAAGGAGGCTCCAAATGAGATGACGCCTACGTGCATATGTTTTTCCCTAAGTCATCTTAGATGACGCCTAGGTGCAATTTTTTTTTAAAAAAATAATAGACAATTTCATCGCAAATGAGACTTTGATTTTCAATAATAATGAAACAATTACATAATAAGAATAAAAGTTACATATTATTTAGTTGTCTCTCAGGAGTCGATAATAATTTGTGGATCCGTACTCGCATCCTCGCCTAACTCATTGTGTGACTCAATAATTTTCCTATTGCGGTTCAGTCGATGAGTCGATATATTCAGCATCCATGAAATTCGTCAGATCACCATATCTGGAAGACCTGCTTTCAAACAGTCGGTTACCCATACCCTTAAAGTTTGGTCGTATTGGTGGAGGGTGGGGTTCCATGGGTGATTAGTAGCACTGGTGTCTGAATAAGTGAGGTAAAAGGAAATGAATCTTGTGGAGTTTGGTACCCATATATTTGTTGGGTGCTATGGTGATGTGATGGTTGATGGTATGTTGGATCAGTTGGGGAATATTCTTTAGGTAGGCTCATGTATGGGCTAAGGTAAGATGATGAAGGGTCCACATCAGGATTTCATATGTAGGGTCTTTGTTCTTGATACTATGATTGTGTGTGGAGCATGTGTGTGTATTGTTATTGGTCTTGGGGTTGGTTGCTTGTGGATTTGTAACGATGTTGTGTTGGTTGGGAGGTTGATGTGTGTTGGGTTTGTTATTTGGGGTTGTTGTTGGGTGGTGTATGATTGTTGGTACTATTATTGAGGATTGGAGGATGATGCTCTTCCACATCCCACACTATTTTGGAGTGAATTCTTTCCAATTGTTAACACCCCACTGGGAGTCGACCCTAAGAAGATGCCAAGGTGACAAACAAGTCGGAGAGCCTGGTATTTCTTGATGCATGTTAAACTGCATCTTGACACGGTCGTTGTGGTGCATCTCCAAAACATTGAATCGTATGATTGAAGTTTTTGCAGTCCAAACTACTACATCCTCAGAGTTGGGTTAATGGTTCAGACCAAATATGGTCTCCAAAGAAACTGCAGATAAAAGTATATTATAATAATGATAACTTTAAAAATAAATAAGTTAAAAGAAGAAAAGTTTGGAGGTAATACATACATTTTTCGGGCCAATGTGATCCAAAAGATTATGATATATAGCGATATTTAGTCTCTGATTCTTGTTGTAATCTATGTGTCTTACACAAACCTTAAGAAAAGAGAGAAATAATAAATTATGTACAACTATTTATCATAAAGCAAAAAAACGTAAATAGAGTTATAGACTTACTTAGTTGCGTATGAGAACATGAAGGTGTTGTTGTTGATGGGGTTAAGGGACTCCATTCTCCATCAACCCCATGCTTAGAGCAAGAAATCACATCCATAAAAAGTACTAATTTTTTTTTCATTTTTACATAATGAACTATATAGATAGGCTAAAATCGCAAAACATTAACTATACCCTCTAATTTTATCAAAGTTCCTAAGCAATCTTAAATACATAAAATTGACACTATTACCTGTACTTTCGAAGAATAAGAGACTTCCAAATAATATCATAATATAATTTCTAACTTTAACTAATTTAGCTTCCTCGGACAAATTTTCATTCAACTGAAGAGATCTATAATGCAATTTAAGGTTCGTTAGTAAAATACCTTGGCCCCTCACACATATTCCATCTACCATATCTTTGTCAAACATTTCCTCACATAGAATATTGAGTTGTTAAACCGATCCATTCACCGTCTTACCCTCAATAGGGAGACCCATCAACATATACACGTCATTTAATGTGACGACACATTCACCAATTGGAAGATGAAAGGTTTGTGTCTTAGGACTCCACCTTTCCAATAATGTGAATATAAACCTCGTATCAACCGTGTAGTTTAAAATATTAATAACATGTCTAAAGTTGGCACAAATTCAAAAGTAAATATAAGTCGGTTTGACTTGAATTAAATCAAAATCAAAATCAAAATCTTAATTGTAAAGTGTAAATCAGTTTGATTGAGGTAAAATAACTACTCATAAATATTATTAAATAAATTTAAATAAAATCATAGATTTGTGAATTAAATTTAAGTTGGATAGTGGGTAAACAATTTTATTTTCCTTTTTTTAACTTATTTATGAACAATGTATCATCTTTTTCAAAATATCCTCCAATCATTTTTTTCTTAAATAATGGCGATATCAAATATCTAAATATACAATAAAATTAATCATAAAGATATTTATGACAATAAAGTCACATTGTAATAATATCTAAAACTGCATGAAATATTTACATTTTATAAACATTAACATAAAATAATCAAAATACAATACCCTAAATAAGTTAAGATCATCATGACTGACAAAATAACAAATATTAAAGAAACAAAAATTGAAATAATCAAGTCAAATTACAAGAAAGTCATTGCTCTTAAATTACAAAACGTAGTCAAATACATAGTCTTAAATATAAATATATTCACAATCCCAAAAGGAGTTTTAGCTTCAATATTAATTTCTTCCCTTAAATTCCAATAATAGAAATATAAACATTAATTCATACACCACAAAATCTAGTATTTAGTGGTGCAATTTGAGAGTTGAGTGGATTTTATGGATTGAATAATCACATAAAATAATCATGTTCACTCAATAACTTGCTCCTCTAACCCATTTAACACATTTTTGGATCGGCTTGACCAGATTTGATGGGTTTATCTAACTCATATTATCTCAAATTATATTAGAAAATTTCTTAATCTACCTTATGTATTTCTTAGGTATCAACATAAAATTTCAAATATTTTTTTAAAAATCGGAAATATATTTTTAAGACACATCAAAAATAATCAAAACCAAAAATATATTTTCAATTTATATCTTTTTTGACTTGATGAGAGTTGTTGCGTCCTAAGAATACATTTTCGAGGGTCATTTTCGGCTTTTCATAAGATCGTACAATAAGAAATTCTCTCATATTACTATGATTCTTGGGCTTTGCAAGAACATTCTGAAGCCAATATTTTTAATAATCAAAGTAGTTGATTTATAAATATTAACATGTTTCCGTTAATACATAAATATTAACATGATTTATAAGAAATGTTGTAGTGATTTGACTTTAAACTAACAAATTAAACTCATTTAATTCAAATAGTACATATCAATTAAGCCAATTACAAGTTACTCCACGCACCCCTCTAAGTCAACTTTTGACTAAGTAATGCAATCACGTTTAACATCAACATATAAAAGCTAAAACAAACTGACCTAGTAGTAGAAACTATTGCTCGGGAGAATCAAACATTTGTACATTAGAAAAAGCTTGTTGACATCCATAATCATATTCAGTTCTAAATTTCTAACTAGCCTACAAACCACTATGCCATAAACTAGTTGAAATAGTGAAGGGGACAATGACAATGTAAAACAAAGGGACCACAATTTAATCTCAATGAAATAACTCTATTTCTATTTGCACCCTGTTGACTATGATAATAACATTACAAATCTCTCTATACATGGGGCAGTCTTGGATTCAAAGACATGCATAGGAAAGAACATGTGAATTAAACAACTAGCACAAAACATGAACAACTTGATCCGTATAAAACACACAAAGATGTATTATAAGAGAATCACTCAAGCACATGGTGAAGAAGAAGAAGAAGAAAACACAGAGCTGGCATATGATGAAGGTAGGACACACAGCACATATTCGATCACCTAAAAGCAGCACATGCCATAAAATTGGACCATAACCAATTATATACTCCACTCAACAAACCATCATCATCCACCTGAACTTCTATCTATCTCCAACTCATGCTAAACAAATTTGTTCTCCAAAAGAATGGATTCACATTTTTAGCCATTTGCAGCCCAACATGAAATGAGTGTCATCATATATTTTCCAGCCATTTTCTTCCCAAAATGAATACAAATGTCATGTGAAACAATCTTTCAGATGACACTATTTCAAAAAACAAGTATACCCCTAACAAGATTTAACAATAGACACAAAATAAACTCAATGTAATGAACAAACAAATGAATCAATGACTTTTAGTGGACACATTTTACATAAATTTCTATCAAAATGTAACAATGCCTTTTTTTGGGTGATTTCCATCTTTGTTCTAAGTAATCATTCAATATGTTAAACAAGCCCTCTCAACTTAACACAAATAATCAATTTTCCTAATCTAAAAACCCAAAATCAAAACTCTCTTCAACGACAACATTTTGAGCAAACAATTAAGAAAACAATAAGAAAAACAATGGAAGAAAGTGCAATAGCCACACCAAGAACAAACTTGTTTGGCCCATGATGATTATCCTTCTTGTGCTTGCTACTACCATCATCATCACTGTCATCATAATCATCATCACTGCTATCATCTGCAGAAGAATCCTTTGAAGGCGGCGGAGACACCGGCTTCCCATATTTATCACAAGGAGAAACTCCAAGTTTCAACTTTGAAGACAAAAGTGAATGATTGTAACACAAATTGCTATTCCCACCAAGTTTGAACACCTCTAACCCCTTTATGAAAGTGAGGTTAAAGGGAACAACACCATGGAGGTTGTTGTTAGCTAGATTCAAGTACTTGATACTCTTCATTTGAGAAATGAACATTGGGATAGACCCGTTTAGCTGGTTTGAACTCAGATCCAAATGAAGCAAAGCAGGAAGAGCAGAGATTGAATCTGGGATAGACCCAGAAAAAGAATTTGAAGCCAAAGAGAGATTTTTAAGAGAAATCAAGTCACCAATGGAAGAGGGTATTTCACCGGAAAGTTTGTTTGAAGAAAGATTCAAACTTTGAAGAGTATCAAGTATGGTAATTGAAAAGGGTATATTTCCTTTAAGGTGATTACCTGAAAAATCAACATGGGTGAGATTGGAATGAATGTGAGCAGGTAAGAAACCAGTGAGATTAGCATGAGAAAGTGTCAATGTTTTGAGGTAGTTCATGTGTCCAAGAATGACGTAAGGACCAGAAGCTTTGACTTGGACATTTGAGACAGTGAGATCGGTGAGATTCTGAAGCTGAGAGAGCCAGACTCCGGAGACTCTGCGGAGGCTGTTGATGCAGGTGAAGGTTTTGAGAGATGAGATGAGTTGAGGAGGGAAGTGGATAGGTGAGATTGGGCAGTCGATGAGGTTGAGTGAGGTGAGGGTGGAGAGTGATTTGAGGGCTGTGAATGAGAGAGAGACGTAGGAGGAACAGTTGGAGAGGGTTAGGGAGATGAGGTGGCGGAAGGGTTTTGAGGAGTCACAGAGGGTTGCATTGTGGAAGGAAGGTTGGGAACATGGGTCTTTTGAGGTTGGGATGTTGAGGGATTGTAGGGCTGTGATTTGTTTAGGGTCAAGAGTGGATTTTGATGGTGTTGAAGTTGAAGGTGGTGAGGTTGTGATGGTGGTGGAGAGGGAGAGGGAGAGGGAGAGGAAGAGAATGAAGAGAAGTGGTTTCTTCATGGTTGAGAAACATGTACATGTGTTACTTGTTTGTGAGATGAAAACAAATGAATCTAGGAGTGTGTTTGTGTTTGTGTTTGTGTTTGAGGTTGATTAATGTTGTACTGTGTTGGATTTGTTGTTACTAATTAAGTATGTATCAAAGGAGTGACCTGGTCACAGTTGGAGATTGTTTGTTTTGTTCCATTTCATTTGGAGATATTTACAGAAATGGACATGTCATTTTAGTATTTATTTAAACACTAATAATAACGGTTGAAAACTGAGGAGAATAAAAATACTCTTGTTCATTTTTAAATATTATTGCTGATTAAGTTGTACATGTAAATGGAAGGACAGCAGGCATCATATTTATCAATAATAAAAAAAACATCGTCATAGTAAAAACTGATTTTTTTTAAAATTTAAATAATGATTTTTAATGTTTCAAATTTCAATTATATATTAAAAATGTTTTAAAATTATGAATTATAATTTAGAATATTATTCATCTTCGTTATAATTCTAAATAATTTAAATACTATTGTACTATGAGAAAATTTTACTTGTTCAAATATTAGAAAATTATGGTTTAACTAAATACATTAGTTGGTCCAAACATATAATATTCTAATAATATTCCAATAGATTGTTTTCAAGGAAAAGATTCTTCCTTAATGTTAACTTGACTAGAGAGCGAGTAGTGTCCATCCACACCTTCAAAATTTTATATTTTATATTTTCATAAAATTTCTACTTTTTATAATATTTTATTTTTTAATAAAATAATTTAAACTTTTTCATATCTTTTATACAAACTAAAATTTAAAATTTCAAACACATAAAATGTCTTTTTCAAGTATAATTTATAAATTTTTATTTTTATTTTTTAAAATACCATATTGATCACACTTGATAGATTTGAGTAATATTTCTTGAGAAGAGGGAAAATTTTGAATTAAAATATTTTATCTCTCTTTAATACTTTATATTTCTTTCAAAAAGTTTTTGTTTTCAAATTCAAGTGACAGAATAGTGTTTTTAGAAGTGGAGACAAGATGTTTTAAGTTGCTTGTTTCTTTACTTAATTCCTTGCAAATGTGAAATAGACCATGATAAGAGAAATGTGAAGTTACATCGTCTTTTTCATGATCTACCATGAGACAAATTTTAGCTTCTTCATCATCCGATAAATTCATGTCATTGTCGTCCCAGACAATGTAGGTTTTCTTATCTTCTTTTTTAGGCCTCTTGAATTTTCTCGGATTTTGATTCCTTTTCTACTTCTGAGGAAAATTTAGTATTATGTGTTCATTCTTTTCATGTTGAAAACATGTAGGAGTAAAATGACAATTTTCCTTCGTTCTTTTGTTTCTCCTCTTGTTGTTTTTCGTGTTTCATAATTATTTTTTTGAAGTTTTTAATGATTAGTGTTATTTCTTCATCGAAGTCAAAATATTATACTTCATCGGTCTTGAGTGCTAGAGTTTTCTTATTCTTGTCACTTTCCCCATTATCTATAAGTTTTTTCAACTTCATCACGTGTTCCTGTAATTTTTCAAAAAGAATAGACAAGTTCATGGATGACAAATCCCTAGATCTACGGTGTAATTATCTAAGGACTTTCATAACTAAGTCCTCATTTTGATAAAACTTTTCCGAGTTTCCATATAATTTACAATGTGAATGGATCGTTTTCGCATATCATAAATGTTTTTAAGCTTAGTTCTAAAGAGTTAATACGCATGGTTTAATGTGTTCATCTTTTCACTTTTTAATTCAGTAACTCCTTTATGGGTAACTTAAAGGGTGTCCCACAATTCTTTTTCCGTTTCATAGTGAGAAACACTAAAAAAACTCATCAAGACCAAGAGTGGTAGTGAAGATAGTCTTATCTTTCAAATTGCGATGCACTTTTCTTTTTCTTATTTCGTTCAATCATCTTCTTCTTTGTTTACCACATCACCATCAACTTGTTGTATGGGAGCAAAAGAACCATTTTTTACAACTTTCCAAATATCAGGATTCATCTCCTTTATAAATGTTATCTTCTTCTCTTTCCACAAAGCATGTATCCTCATAGGATGATTACTCTTAAAACAAGAGTTAGACTCTAATGACTCTAATGTCACTCGTTGACCAAGTCACTTCAAATATAAGAGTGGGGGATGAATTGTGATATTTAAAAATCAAAAACATTTTTAAACATTATTTCTTAAAGTTGGGTTATGTTAGTCCAACAAAGATAAAAACAACAAAGAATAAGAAGAAGAAATAATTAAAGAGTAAATAAAAATAAATAACAAAAAGTAAATTTCAAGATGATAGTCGATCTTTTCTTTCTACATATTAAAATTCAATCATAAAAACCTTCAGTATTCAGAATATTTGAGTGAAACTCTTTGAATGATATAAAATTTGTGCACAAAGTTTCATAGTTAAAGTTTGTATGAACCCTTGAAATTGTTTGAATTGACGTGAAAATTAATAATAAAAGAGGTGAATTTAAATTCTCATGTAGAAAGCCTTAAATACATGTTATAAAACCCCTGTGAATAGATGTATAAGAATAGAGGGGTTCCATGAAGTTTTCCCAACTCAAAAGGTGTCATTGCTTGGTGAAAAATGCAAATTTTCACATGGTAATCGATTACCAATTTTCAACAACTATATTTTTTGAATTTCTAAGGCTAGTAATCTATTACCAATAAGGAGTAATCGATTACCACATTACCATGGTCAAAAATTACAGTTTTTGAAAGCATGTTCCATAATAAGTAAATTACAACGTTTCAAAAAGTGTGGTTATGACGGTTCCATATGCCATAATTTATTAAAAAAACAAAATGAACAAAAAAAATGGAAAAAACCAGTTTTTTTAATGGAAATGCTTGAGTGTTTTGATGCATGATGATTTTATAAAAATGTTAGATGAAGGGATGTGAGTTTTTCGGAGCATCTAAAGTTTATACATAATGATTTGTAATTAAGTACCTTAGCATCCATATCAATTTCCTTTACTTCCAAAATATTCAAGCTTGTGCATTCTTGATTCTTGATTTCAAACTTTTTCTTCTTTGATATTTATTCTTTTATAAGATTCTTCATCAAAACTAAACCAAGATAGATGATGAACATCTTCTTCGCAATCTCCGTCTTTTTAGTAATAATAAAATATATCAATGAGAAGTTTTTGTTTGACACTTTATTATCCCCTATCTTGTATATCTCTCCCTTTATTTTGAAATTTATGCTTTGTCTTGAATGTTGTGTTAGCTTTAACAAAGATGATTTTACTTGTGCTTAGTTTATCGAAATTAGAAAAACCAAGCTCATATTTATCATTTGAATATCTTTTCTACTTAGCATATTTTCTAAACCAGTTTGACATTTTCATATTTCTTTATCACTTGGTTTAATTCAATAACTTTATATTCAAGATATTGACATTTATTACATGCTGAATTTTTTACTTGGTCTAACTCCATTTTCATGACATTAGCCTTACTTTCTAGGGATAAAATTATTTTGTTTTACTTTGAACATTTTCTAGAAATATTCTAACACATCTCATGTAATTCATGGAAGGTATTTTGTAATTCATCGTATGGCAGTTTATCATAAATTTCAAAATAACTAACATCGTCTTCTTCATCATTAGAATGGTGTGAAGCCATTAATGCAAAATTTCCTTGTTTTTCATCTGAAGACGAACTTATCTCACTGTCTTCTCATGCCACACATTATTTCTCTAGACTCTTGTCCTTCTTTATATTTACTTTGTTCTTCTTTAGAAGTGTGTGACATTTACTTTTTACATGCCCTCTTCTTCCACATTCAAAAACAAGTAACCTTCTTTTTTGAAGTTGGTGCTTCTTTTTTTACTGATTTCCTTTGTCCTTTCCTTCTTTAAATTTTTTTTCAAATTTCTTGATTAGAGCATCATCTTAATCATTAGTGGATTGAGATTCATCCTCTTGATTACTATCATAGCCTTTGATTTTAGTTTTTAAGGCAATATTTTTGGGTTTCTTTTTTTTATCTTCATGTTTTTCTAGTTTACTAAATAATGTTGCTGAAGATATATTGGAGATTCTTCTATTTTCTAATGTAGTCGTTACCTTTGATTGTCATACTCTTGTCAATAATCTAAGGACTTTGAGATTTAAGTCATCATTTATAAATGTTTTTCCAAGTGTCATTAAATGAGTGAGAATCTCTTTTGTAGATCAAGGATTATTTCTCTAGACTGCATTTTAAACATCTCATATTCTTATGATAGAGTGTTTAGTTTGGATATTTTTACTTCTATCATGCCTTCATGTGTCACTTATAATGTATTCCAAATTTCTTTTGTTGTTTTACAATTTGATACAAGAAATAATTCATCCATACCTAATGTCAATGCAAGTATGTTTTTCTCCTTCTTATCAAACAACACTTTCTTTTAGTCTTCATTGGTCCAAAAGTCTTTCACATTTACTTGTTCTACATTGTTTATGACTATTGTAGGAACGAATGGTCCACTTTCAACAACATCTCATAGTTCTTCTCCATGTTCTTCTAAATACGGTTGCATACAAATTTTTCATAAGTCATAATATTCACCAACAAAACATGGAGGTTAGTTGTTGTTGTCACCATCTACAAAAACAATATTAACAGAAGCCATAAGTTCCTAATCGAGGAGAAAGTTATCTTAACCCGCTCTAATACCAATTATAACTTTGGAGTACAACCTAAAAGGGGGTGAATTAGGTTATATGAAATTTTCTCTTTACTTTGCATATGTTTTAATATTTTATTTTTAAGGGATAAAGTGTGTGGACTTGGAACAATAATTCTGAAAAATTAAATTGCAAAAAGGTAAAAAGAGATACAAGAAATGGTACTAGCTTCCCTTATCAACCAAGAGTATGTCTAGTCCCTTTACACCCCGTGAAGGATTTTACTATGTTAACTATTTGTACAACCTCATACCAAGAGTCTCCTACAATCTTCTAACATAAACACCTAACCTA